ACAGATGTGAGCCACCATGCCCAGCCCATACCTAGATTTTCTTCCTCATGGTTTATCTTAACCAGTTGAAATCTTGGGCCCCAGCAACCATTTCCTTTATGAAAGGAAGCATGGGCTAATTTGCAATGCCACCTCCAATCAAACCTGAGAATCTCCTAAATTCTCACCTCTGGTTAAGCTGGAGGCTGGAGGCACTGCACTAGCAGCAAGTGTAGGCTAGGCAGCATTATAAAATGCCTGCTGAGTGTTGAAGGTGCCTTAAGACATTTCCTGATAAAAACTGAATGAGTTTGTTGCTAACAGATCTGCCTTACAAGAAATACTAAATATATCCTTCAGGCTAAAATGAAAGGGCACTAGACAATGACTCAAATCCACATGAAAAAATAAAGAACACTGGTAAAGGTATTTGCCAGAGATGCTCTGAATCTATATAAGACTCTCGGTCACCTGATTTTGATGCCTCACACTTGAGATAAAAACGTATTATTTTTAAAAGAAATTCAAATGTACATTCTCTTCAATTTCTATAAATATAATTATACTACCTTTAGAACACTTGAAATATACATGGAAGATTTTTTAAGAAAATTGATCACATATCTATAGAAATAATACAATAATTTTAGTAAAATTTATTATAAAATCATATATAAACATGTGCATTTCTATGTAAATGAATCAATGTGTGTATATATATATGCTTTAAAGATCAGATCAAATAAATTGATGAGATGATTTTAAGTAATTGATTTTCTTTCTAATTTCCATCTGATGACAATCAATAAATTTTAATTTTACAAAAATATACTCAGTAATGAAACCTCTGGCACTTTAGAATATTTCCTTCGGCAATAATGTCCAAGGACATAGTCTGTAGAACTATTTTATGAATTGGCAATTTAGAAATAAGTTGACTTATGTTCTATATTATTTGATGATAGAAGCTTTACATGATAATGTTTTATTTGTTTCTTACACCTTATTGGTTCCTAGCTTAAGCTAAAGACATAGCATAAATTTAAAATAACATATATTCCTACATCCATGCCCTACTAAATTCAAAGGCTGAAAACCAGGGAGCAATGAGGGGCTATCAAGAGTCAGGGAAGAGAGAAGTAGCATCTAAGATGGAAAAAGTTTTAAAAGATTTAAGATGAAGAAATTTCGATCAAGACATCTTTTAGCATAAAGCTTTACTCAGACCTAGGGTAAACATCATAATTCAAGAATCTTCTTCTATTTGGTTTATTTCTGAAAATGTTCTGCCATCTTTGGATATTTCTTTGATCAATTTATCGTCTGAAGTTATCCTCTAGTTACCTTCTTTTCTCCTTGGAAGGGTGTACACCTTTTGTGTCATTGGTTCAGGAGATATGCCACAATACATCCTGGAGGTCAGATCAGATACACTACCTGCCAAAGCATTAGGTAAACACTCAACAGGTTATTTACTCATCCTTTCAAAAAAGCTGCTTCTAGGGATGGGAGCACATGGTTTGAAGAGTGAATTCTGTAGTTACAAGTCCATGACAATGTTGTAGAGGATAATATACACATGGATAAGCTTATCTATAAGCCCTGGATGGCAGAACTAAAGATAGCTTTGGAATATATGCTGAGTCTGCTAAAGATAAATTGCTGCTCCCTGTGAAGTGGAAGGTTCTGTTTGGGACTTCTGAGAACTGGTACTACATCTAAGGCTCAGTGTTAGTCTCTGCTGCTGTGAGGTTGTTCACTCAGCAGGGAAGCAGCTAGATCAGGCTGGTAATGGAGACCTCATGATGTTTGGTCTGTACATACATCTATTATATACTGAATTGTGCCCCCCCCCCAATTCATATGTTGAGTTCCCTAATCCGCAACGTGACTGTATGTATTTGGAGATACAGCCTTTAAAAAGGTAATTAAGGCTAAATGAAGTCACAAGGGTGAGTCTGTAATCCATTAGGACTAGTGTCCTTATGAAAAGAATATCAACAAGTGTGCACACACAGAGGAAAGGTCACCTGAGAACTGCAAGAAGGTGGCCATCTGCAAACTAAGGAAAGATACTTCAGGAGAAACCAACTCTGCTGACATCTTGATCTTGGACTTTCAGTTTCTATAACCATGAGAAAATAATTTCTGTTGTTTAAGCCACTCAGTCTGTGGTATTTTGTTACGGCATCCTTAGCAAAGTAATAAAACCTCCATTCTGGTAACTATAACCACTCAAATGTGCGGCTGAGGGACAGGTTATCTGATGTCTACAGCATAAAATGAAAGGGTGATTTGTCACTGATAGGCTTTGCCTATGAAGCCTGAAGCTACACAGACCTGGGGCTTCAGCTCTGACTGAAGTTATCTAAAGAAGCTTGGCAGATGTAATGGAGGTAATGGCAATATCCAGGTAAAGTCTTCAAAGGCAAAATCTAGGGAATCAACTTAGCTATACCTTTGAAGATGTCTCTCTATATCCAAGATTATTTATCACCAAGAGTCTGATGGTTATTCTCTTAAAAGGCATTAAATCTCTTCCATTATTTCTTCATGCAGCCAAGAATTACCATCTACCACAGATAAAAGCTGAATAGATGCTGGGATTTAGTTTCAGGAAACATTTTGTCAGACAAAGCTGTCACACTTACTGTGTGCTATAAGAGAATAAAATTTAATATTTATTTAACTTAATATTTAACTTAAATTCTACAAGCTACCTGGAGGGGCTTCTTGGTACCTAGAAAACATAGAAATTCAAGAGATTTGGCAATACTGGTTTTCAGTAATCATTATTCGTGGTAGTTTGGTATTGCATGTGAACTGTGGTTAATGCATGTGAAGCATGGGTTAAGGCATGTGAAGCATGGGTTAAGGCATGTGAAGCATGGGTTAAGGCAAAAAATAATTTTGCAGGTATCACTGAAGAACAGTGTTTATTTGTATGGAAGGAAAGAGATAGAGATATAAGGTACATACAGCTAAATAAAAAATCCTGTAGCCTAAATTTGAATTGGAATTATCCTTCTGACTTCATGATATCTTTTATCTTACAAAAATATATTTTCCAGTTCTGCTACTGAAAAGAAATATAAATTATCCCCAACATAATATCAATCAAATCAACAACTCTTCCACTCAGATTATGGGATATTGAAACAGGAAATATACAAACTGTGTCTGGAACATTATTTAATGACAAAAAGCATGGAATCTATCAAAAAATATAAAGATTATGTCAAAAGGATACATAAGCCAACAGTATTTGTCTCTCTGGGACAATGTGGAAATATTTCAACATTAGTAAAGATAATAATTATAGTTAAACATTCCATTGTTTTCTAGCTTACATAGCTTCTGATAAGAAATCAGCATTATTTCTAACTGATGTAATGTGCCCCTTTTTCCTCTGTCTTCAATATTTTCCCTTAATTCTTGATGGTGAGTGGTTTGACTATAATGACTTTAGGTGTGTATTTTTGTTTTTATTATTTATCTTGGAATTTTCTGAACTTCTTGTATTTGTAATTTAATGTATTAATGTATGAATTTTAATGTAATTTGTAATTTAATGTATTAATGTATTTCATTAATGTTTGGAAAATTCTCTTCCATTTGTTATGTCTTTAAATATTTATTCTTGCCTATTATCTCTCACTTTTTTCTTTATTTAACTTAAATTACATGTATTTTAGTCCATTTTATGTAGTATCATGACACTTAGATGTTCCGTTCTTTTTTTCTTTTATTCTTTGTATTTTGGAGTGGATAGTTCTTTGACCTGTCTTGAAGTTCACAGATTCTTTCCTCAGCTATACTGCATCATATGATGAGACTATTAAAAGAATGTTTCATTTCTGATACCAGGGTTTTATTTCTAGCTGTACCATTTGACACCTCCCTATAGTTTCTCTATTTCTACTAAAATCCCCAATCTGATCATGCATGTTGTAAATCTTTTTTCCCTGAGTCATTAACACTGATCATTGTTATTTTAAAGTCACTGTATAATAATTCTAACACCTCGGTCATAGTTCAGTCTGGTTCTGATCATTACATTGTCTCTTTACAATGGGTTGTTTTCCCTTACTTTTTTGCATGTCTCATAATTTTTTTGTTAATTGACAGATGTAAAGTATAAAACAAGAGAGACTATGAAGTATATGGTAGCTATACCTGGAAATGGCCCTTCTTCTGTCTTGTCAGTGTGAAGGATCGAGTCAGTCTTGTCCAAAGATATGTTTGGATTTTGTTGTTGCTGTTGTTTTCAGTGAACCACACACTGTATATCAATCAGAGTAAAGAAATGCATACCAAAACCAGGATTCTAATTTAAAGCATGGAACATTTTGATAATTAGAAGCAGCTGAATATGGTAGGAGTCTAGTGTATTCAGGTAATAAAAAATAAAACTAGACAGAGATACAGGGACCATATCCCGAGTGCCCTGTAATCCACGCTGAAATCTGGACTTTATTTTGAATGCAAAGACTAGAGTTGTTTAAAACAAATGAGATTTACATTTGGATTCTAGAACATCATTCTAGCCTATGGTCTATATTTGAGTGGGCCAATTCCTGAGGCAGAGTGATATGGAGATGTCAGATAAATTTGGTCTAAAACTCAAGATAGAGTTTTGTCCTTGAGACAATGATTTGGGAATAATCAACATGTAAGTATTTATTACACTCCTAGAAATAGACAAGATTGCCTAGAAAGAGCACTTGGGGGGGCGGAGAAAAACTGGGACAAAAACCTAAAAACAACTTCATGTAAAAACTGGACAGAGAGAAATGGACCTTAAGAGAATCAGCAAAAAATATGAAGAAAATCAAACTCAGTTAAAACTAGATAATAAATAAGAATCTAAGAATATTTCAACAAGAAACACATGGCCAAGTGTCAAATAAAACTAGAGAGTCAAACTAGAAAATAGCGTAACATTGTTCATTGTGATGTAATAATGAAGAATTTATTAGTGATGGAGCAAAAGAAACTTTATTGGATCAGTAAGGGTGAAAGACAGATTGCAGTTGAGGAGAAACCACAAGGAAGGAAACAAAGTGGAGAAGTCAGGCCATGGCTACAGGTAAATGCCAAGGAGAAAGAATCAGGAGGGAGAAGTGAAAGATACAGGAAAGAGAATTGACGAATCTTAGTCACTATGGGAACTAAGGGGGATGGGTTCTGAGCATGGGTATAGGTTTTAACTTTAAAATGAAAGAGGAAAGATTATCCTGTTGATCAAGGAAGGAAGGATAAGGGTGGATGTAAAGACCAAGCAATGTAAGTCTTAGTGGCATGAGCTTAAGGAATCACAGATGATAAACTCTATCTTCCCTTTGCCATCAGAGGTAGGCCATTTGCTGGGAATGTGAAGGTACTAGTGGAGTTGGATATCTGACTGTGTGAACAAGGATTCAGGTGGCTGCTGTAGTGAACGGAAAGGAAGGGACTGGAAGGATATAGGGTTGACATACAGCTGTTTGCCCTGGTAAGTAAAGAGATTATGAACTAATAGATATTAACATCTGTGCCTTGTGGTGTTGGGTAATCCAGGTATAGGTTTAAATAAAATGGACAATTAGACTGAACCATGGTTGGAATTTTTTCAGGCAAATATAGTGAAAGGACAACTGGATCAAAAATTCAGTGATATTTCTTTGTACTGAAGTTGAACTGAGAAAAGCAAGTTGGAGCCAGGTATGAAAGGAATTGAAGAGATAGGTGCCTGATAGAAATAATATTCTCATATGCACATAATCACTCTTATCTCAGCTCATCTATATTATCCATGAAAATATGAACTTATACACATTTTGTATTCTAACTCCCAAAATAGTTTCTCAGAGCTTCCAACCCAGTTATTCAATAGTTGTATGTTCTTCAGCAAGTCATTAATCAGGACAATAATCCTCAGTGTTATGTATACATGAGAGCATCCTATAAACCTGCAGTCCTCAATCCCCAGCCCATGGACCAGTACCAGCTCGTGGCCTGTTACAGACCAGGCCACACAGCAGGAGGTGAGCAGCAGGCAAGCCAGTGAAGCTTCATCTGTATTTACAGTCCAGCCGCTCCTCATCACTCATATCACTGCATAACCTCCGCCTCCTGTCAGATCAGCAGTGGCATTACATTCTCATAGGAACACAGAACCCTACTGTAAACCGTACATGTGAGGGATCTAGGTTGCATGGTCCTTATGGGAATCTAATGCCTAATGATCTGAGGTGGAGCTGAGGTGTTGATGCTAGTGCTGGGGAGCAACGGCAAATACAGATTATCATTAGCAGAGAGATTTGACTGCACAATAAATGTAATGCACATGAATCAAGCCAAAACCATCCCCCACCCCCTCCATGGAAAAATTGTCTTCCATAAAACTGGTCCCTGGTGCCAAAAAGGTTGGGGACCGCTGCGTATAAACTATCATTGTGATACCACTAATGGAAAATACAGAAATGTATGACAATTTTATAAAGATACTAAACAACCTAATTCCCTTCCTCAGGCAGGATCAAGATGTGACAAGAACAGCTTAAGGAGTTACAAACCTGTCTAGGGAATTTAAGATAAAGCTACATGGACGTTAGTCATGTAAAACAGAAGTCTACAGCCTTGTCATATACTCATTACAAATTGCTTCTTAGACTATCAAATATTTCAGCTTAGTATTTATTTTTCATTTAATCATTTGAAAATATGTGTATTGGTTTATACACTTTTCTTGCCAGATACTTTTCTTAAATAATAAATAACATTTTGAATCATTTCCATCCCACTGCATAGGGAAATAGAGCTTTGTGATAAGTGCAATATAGCAATTCAGATAATTTTATCTGTCATAATTCAAGGTTTAAGTTACAAATTCAAGGATTTTCAGTAGAACAAAACTTATCTGTCTATAAGTATATAAGAATAAATACACAGAAGATGCTACAATACAAAATCCAAATACATAATTTAACTTAGAATATGACAACAACAGATGAACTAAAATTGTACACCCTATGGCTACTTTAGTTTGGCTAGGCTGTTTTAATGTCTTGCATTGGAGGAAAAGAAAAACAAAAACAGAATAGGCATAAATCTTGTAGTATTAAAATTCAAAATCTTAAAAGTTATATGTGGACATCTTTCTCTGTTTCAAAGAAAAGCTGGGGTCTAGCTTGAGAAGCAGAAAAAGCTTAAGTTGAACACAGTATTCTTTTTAACAAACTCAAAGCCACAGCATTATAATCTTAATATAATTTTAAAATATTGTAATATCTGTTAGACTCTAGAGAGCAGCAGAAACAAACCATACTTTACTTAGAAACTGTTGAAGCAACCAGACATTTTCTGTCTCTTGCTTATCAACACAAGTCAAAGCATTTATTAAATTGCATATAAAGCTCTACTGTGGGCAAGCCAGTGGAAAAAAGGTTTATACCTATTTAAGCCAAAGGCCTGGTTCCAGCATCATAGGACTTGGTAGTTGTTGTAAACGGGAAAGAAGTGTAGGGGGGAAAAATGGAGAAAACTATTTTTTAATACACCAAAATGGCAATTTTTTAAGTGATAATTCTCAATGTTGAGCATTTTTATCAGCAGTTGTTTTGCCCAGTCTCATTCAAAGATTTCATGCTTTGACTCTAGAGACTTTCTATGTCAATTTTAAAGTCATAGCTCACCAGGAGTTATTATTATACCATCACCATTTCCCATTATTTCCCAATGTTGAGACACTGGTTTTTATATTCAAGAGGTAGTACATTTATATGTGGTTGTTGTTGAGGTCCCCATGACAGGTTGAAAATCCCTTGATGCATTTTCATGAATAGTCTAATATCATAATGAAATTTATTCCTATTATAACACACATTTTAAACAGCTTGATGAAACAAACTCAATGATGACAATAGTCTGAAAACTTGATAGTGAACTGCACCACAATGCTGAGTTTTAGGAACAAAGATGTCATTAAAGAAGAGAGTACCCATTCTTGTTTCTAGCTGGTACAAAGGAAGTCACGGGGAAGTCACTTGGTACATGCAGTATTCCTCCAGAAAAACAATCAAATAAAGTGCCTCTGTTAAGTGAGTTCCTTCTTGACATATCAAGCTAGACACTGACTATCAGGACTACATCCTAAACAATCTCTTCTATTGCTAAAAAATAGTACTATTTGAAACATGAAGGTAGTGTGAAGATGATATGAGACCTTGGTACTATAAAGAAAGCTGTCAGACCTAAATTTAAATATCAGCAATGGTGGGGGAAAAGCGCTTGTAAAATGGGGAAAACTGTTGGTGAAACAAATGTAAGTGAGAAATCAGTTATCAATAAAATATAATCCTCAGAAGAAATATACACATTAATAACATTCTCTTATAAACTGTTTATCTTTTTAGTACCTCTGATATTGTCAACTATGCTTTTCTGATTATTACATATAATCAAACAGGCCAGGTGTCGGATTTTCTAAAGGCCCATATTTGAGGATATATTTATCCTTTTGACAATATGCTTTTCCTATTTTTTCAATTTTATCTTTTACATCAGTAATTATTACTACCTTCATTCTTTCAGTATGTTGTGCCATGCTTTTTCTAGTTTCTTAAGTTAAATAGGCATTATCTTTATTATGAGGCTTTCCTTTAATAATAATAATAATTTTCTCTGAATAAAACAATGGCTATGTAACATCAGCTATAACGTAAGCTGACCTTTTGGCATTTGTCTACCTAGATAACTTGTGATATTTTAAATTTCTTTTTTACTTGAGGGCTTATGTTTTCAAATTACAAGTAGCTAAGATTTTACAATAACTGTACTGTTGATTTCTAGTTTTATTGGCTATAATTAGAAATGTGACCTATAAAACCTTTAAATTTTTAATGTTATGATCTTATTCATTTTTTGATAATTGCACATGCCTGTGAACCAAAATATAATGCTTGTTCTGTGCACAATGCTTGCTCTAGCACATAGGCTAGAATGTTCCTTTAGTACATATTGCTTTGAGCTCTTAATTACATAATTAAAATGCAAGGTAGCCTAATTTTTTATTATTTATTATTATTTTTAATTAAATTGATCACTAATATTTTTCTAATGACATATTAAAATCTACTCCTGTAATTTTACTTGGTCCAAGTCATTCTTATTTTTTAGAGTTTTTGTCATGTTTGGTGTATTTAAATCATACTGTTTTGATTGTACTATTAATTAATTATTTTATCATTATTGTGCATTTTGCATTTTAACTTCTTATGAGAGTCTGACTTACGTTATGGAAGTTCAGTCAGTATTTTTCATGTATTGTGATAATTTATATACTTACTTTTACTTTTTTTTTTTTTAGTGTTCTTCCAATTTCTTTTTATTTTATTTTATTTTATTTTTTATTTTGGCATATTATGGGGGTACAAATTTTAAGGTTTCAATAAATGCCCTTTCCCCCTCCCCCCTATACTTGCTTTTATTTTCATACTTTTATCTCATTTGATCTATTAATTATTGTTTATCATATTCCCCTCAATTTTACTCTTTCTGGCGATTTCTTTTTTTTTTTTTTTTTTCATATTCTTCCACAACTCTATCACCTGCACACCTAGTTACTTTGGAAAGATAACCATACTTTTCAGTATTGTTATTGGGTACATGTTTATTCCTAATAGCTATGATGAAACCTACATTTCTCTACGGATAAATCTAGATTAAGTAGCTGTGCTGCCAACCCAGATGTATTTTCCTGGCATCACATGAAAATATTAGAACGCTATTACCCAAGTCTGTCACCAGGTGGCCAAACACCCCATCCCACCCATACAGAACTCCAGACTAGGGTTCCCTCGGGCCTCTCATTCACCACCTCTTGGGTTTTCCTGAGATAATTTTAAAGCTTTAGATATAATCTCTTAGTTTTGTCTTAAATTATATATTTTCTTATATTAAATGTTCTTAATGTATTTTTACTATATACACACATATGTGTATATATGTATTCCCATATCCCCAAGTCACACTATCCTCAACCTTTTAAGTGACTCAACCCTTTTTCATTATACTTGAATAATTTTTTATATATTAATAGAATATATGGATATACCAAATGAATCCTACATTCTCCCAAGATATATCTTTTTACTAAGAGAATAATGATCTCTTGGCTATATAAAGGATCATTTGAATTCTATCATTATGCTAAATAATCGATTATATGTTTTCTTCATATCTTCCATTTGATTATTTGGGACCTTTCATTTCAATGCTATTTGGGAGCCATTATACCTTTTTATATTTTAGATTAAATCCTTCCACTCAGGGAAATGTTTTATTATTTTTTTCATTATTAGCCATCCCCTATATATTCCCTTTTCCTCTTAGTCCTCAGTCAAGTATCTTTCAATTCTGATTCCCATTTCTTTTTGTCTGTGTTATAAGCCACTTATTCTATTTGGGTTTTCAAAACAACAGCTGAGTTCCCACTAGTGATTTATTTTTTAA